AGAACGTGTGTTCTGGAATACTTACTACCTTTTTAAAATGTTTATTCCACAGGCAACCCACTGAAGGTCGATCCCGTGATGGTGGTTTACGTCTTGGCGAGATGGAGCGGGATTGTTTGATAGGTTACGGAGCCAGCATGTTGCTCTTGGAGAGACTGATGATTTCGAGTGATGCCTTTGAAGTGGATGTTTGTGGGCAGTGTGGCCTGCTAGGGTACTCTGGCTGGTAAGTGGACTCACTGTAATGCTTTCTGTAAATTCTGGTCTAACCTCCACACTTTGTGGATGTAACATGTTTTACATGGGTTCATATTTTTAAAAAAAACTCCTTGACCTCGAGTGCATAAAGCAAAGTGGCACAGAGTAAACATGCCTAACAGAACCTTGCCCTTGCTTATAGTGCTAAAGTGTTGACAGACCAGTGACCAGGGATCCCATGACTAGAGAAAGAAATAATTAACAACGCAAGTCCAAGTTACAAGTTACTCCAATATTTATGTTGGGGAAGATGAGGAGCATAAGGAAAAACTTTGTGGAGCAGAAGTTCAGACAGGTGTAGGTAAATGCATGTGAAATCCAGAGGAAACACAAGGCCTACTCTGTGCATCCTATTGTGGATGGTAATTTTTAATGGGCATTGTCCTACTGGCTTTTTTGTGGTAAGTATCTTTGAGAGTCCTGCTTTTCTAGTGTGTGCTCTGTGTGTAACAAGCGAGGCCTTTTCCAGGTCTCTGAAAACCACTGCAATGTAAATAACAGTTGAAGGAAGTTGAAAGGAAGGGCATGGCATAAGTCAGCTGTGGAAAGCAGTGTCTTAAAAAAACATCATGTCCAGATGTAGCTCAATTATTTTTTTTAATAAGACCTTGGCTTTCAGAGTTGTCCTTGAAGATTTTCAGAGACCACAAGAAGTGAGGGTGCCTTGAAGAAGATGAGGAATTTGAACTGCAGAAATAGTATTACGTTATTTTTAAGGTGTGGTTAATGTATTTTGTATTTTGACATTTGTAACCAAGTTCAGTGACTCTTTTTAAACAGTTGCAAAAGAAACTACTCTCACAGACAGACCCAGATGTTCTTGCAATTTGATTGTGTGAAAAGCTGTCTGATGTGTGAGAGTAATCAGAAAGAGGTGGCTCCTGCTAAATGAAATGCTGTGTCCACCAGTAGCTGAAGCAAGTGGCCCTGTAACAAGCATCAAAGACCAAGTCATTAAGAGGAACTTCTAAACTGGCCTTTTCAGTGATTCTGGCATTAATTGTGGCAATAAACTTTTTAGAAACATACTGTTTGGTGGCCAGCACTAAAGGCACTTGTCTTAAGGAAGAAGAGCTGTTCCTCCAAGACAAGGACTCGCCACTGGGGGTGTTTTTTTCTGCAAGACAGTAACACCACATCAGTGTTAGGGACTCAACTTGCACTTTCACAGGGATAGGGGACTGTTGTGGCAGTGACAGACTTTGTTCCTGTAAAAACTACAGTAGGAACTTAATGTGATGTATCAGTTTTATGCAAATTTTCTAGCTTTGCTGTTGAACAGCTGCTCAGAGGCTTAACTCCACTAAATGCAATGAGCAAATTCTTTTGGTCCTTTTTCAATTATTAAATGAGAAGTTACTCCAATCCCTAGAATCTGAGAATTTTGAAGAAAAATGTTATTTCTGGTCCAGATTCAGCCTTGGCACAGTTACCTTTTCTTGCCCAGTTTAGTATCAATTCTAGTGCCAAATGGTCTTTTGAATACCTCAGTTTCTGTGACCCGTTTGACAGAGCTTTGTGCTTCCCACACCTTAACCTTTCTGGGTTTGATCCCCATCAAAGCACAAAGCAGCCCAGAATGGTGTAGCTTTGAGCCTGGGTGCAGTGAGTAGTCTCTGCTCCTCAGTCACTAGCAGCTGTAATCAGATGTAATAAGACATCTGATTCTGCTCATAGCAGAAACATTGTGTCCCATCAGGCCCCAAGAAAGACATTTATGTTGAGAGCAATTGTTGGCTATGTTGTCATCAGAAAATGGCTTCTGTTTAGGTCACTTCCTCCCACCATAAAAATATACCTATCCCATACTTTTGGACCAAGGGAGTAGTTTTAAATCTGCAGTTGAGGTCTATTCTGTTTTAAAGGGATGCTGCTGGGAACATTTCCCCTATGTAACAGTGCTACAGGAGAAGCCTGTTCCATGGAAACAGTCTGTTGCCTTCTTAGTGCCAGATTCAGACAAAGCCAAATCAATTAGAGGGAATAAGTAAAGCTTCGGTCCTCATAATGATCTGCAGAAATGTGACTAAGGCTTCTACACCATCAGTGGAAGCTTTCTGAGTTTCAAGTAAATAAATAGCCCAAGCATGGAGCATGTGGAGGTCAAGGCAGCCAGTTTTCTTCAAAAATAACCTGCTCTTTGATGTGCTCTTTAAGTATGACTGTAAAAGAGAAGTAGCAGAGTCTGAAAAAGTAACTGGAAGACTAATGCTGTGTCTCATAACCAAGAACCTTATCAACACTAATCAACTTTACTGGGCTGGTCCCCACTGACTTCCATTTACTCTGGATCAAATTCACTGGTAACAGAAAGAAGTGACTAAGCATTGGACTTTATTGCAGATGTTGATTCTTAGCCTCATCCTGCACCACAGAAGCATGTAGGAATTTTGCTAACTATTTCTCAGTTCAGTCTTCATACTTTTAGGACTTTATGCCAGAAATATAAATTTGAAACAGAAGCAGAAAAAGAGTTTTGTTAAACCATTAGGGAAGTGCTGAGTCACTCCGTGTTCCCAAAGGCCTGGCTTTCTCAACTCTCCAAAACAAGAAGGTGGAATATATAGGAGAACAAGGAAATTATTAGGTTGGAAATTGGTATTTATAAGAAAGATTTTTAATTTCCTTTGTATGTATACAGAGTATGAGAGTAAATAATGTAAGCAGCTGCTGCCACCACTGAATTTGAGTCCTGTACTGGAAAGATGGTTAACTAACCAGCCTATCTATTCCTTACATGGTGAAGGTTATAACTATATGACAAAGAATCCCTTTCCCCCAGAGTATCAAGATCATTATTTCAAAAGAGTATGTGTTAAAGCAGTTCTTCTGGTTTTTTGTCTTGACTGAAGCTTTGGCTATTCACACAGAGAGATATAAGACAAGAGATGCCTCTTTTCTGAAATACGAACTGATATGAGACATTATAAGATGAAATTCCGTAACAGGAAAAAACCTACGTCTGAGCCTCCTTATTTCCTGCATCGTTATTGTGATGTATATATAAAAAGAAAGAAACTGGACCACCAACCATGCTTTCAAAAATACTTAGCTTTGTTCACACAGTGCTGAATTTGTGTTGGCAGTTACGTGATCAGTGAAGAGGAAGAAGTCAGTCCTGTCTTCTACTACTGTCTTCTCCAAGAAAAGGGCAGGTTTAACATTAGGCTCCTGTAGACTTCAGTCAGATTACTTAAGGGCTTAAAGTTATGACTTGCTTAAATGCTAACATGTGTGTCAAGCACTCAGCTCCTTCTAGGAGCCCAGTGTTTAAACCAGGTGGACAAAGAAGCCAGTGGATAGTGGCAACTACTTTTTTCTACAGAGCTTTATTTATACACCACCTCTGACTTTCTTTTTGTTTGTTTTCCTAGGTGCCACTACTGCAAATCATCATGTCACGTATCTTCTCTGCGCATACCTTATGCCTGTAAACTCTTATTCCAAGAACTGCAGTCGATGAACATCATACCCAGGCTAAAACTGGCTAAATACAATGAATGAGCAAGATTGAAGAGATGGAAAGAAGTACTTACAGAAATTGAAATCCAGCATATATAACTGGAAGCTTTTTTGTTGACTAGGAATAACTCTAAAACCTGAGTGGGTAGAAAGGAGGTGCAAGACAGTGTAAGAAATCTTTCTTGCATAGTTTACTTGTTTTTAAGTTGACAGGAGAGACTCTGTCAGTAGAATACAGCAGTTCTAAAGCCTTGTTTAGTCTGAGTGAACAGGATCTGTGGGAAGTGTGGAATGAGGCCACGATCCAGCAAAGCACTTGCATCACTTCAGACAACCCTATGCTCGGTTTTGAAAAGTGCTTTGCTGGAATAGGGCTTGAGCTGAGCTAAATGCACATCTTATTCACAGAGGTTAAAAATGTTTTCCATACTGTATAATATGAAAGACTAATAAATGTTTTAAATAATACTGCCTGAGTGTGTGCTGATGGTTGACTGAGGATGGAAAAGCCTTCTTAAAATATCTAAACCATTTTCCTATTCCTGAACCATTTTATTAAAGCATTAACATTTTATTCAGTGGTGTCAGGCTTACAGAAATGAAACTACTTTCTCCAGAACTTGAAATCAGGCGTTTTGAGTGGGATTTCAATACACAGGTGCATGTGTGTGCGAGCTATCATGCGGTCAGCCTTTCTTGCAGCTAAACTTACAGTGTCCGTGAAGTTGAAGAAAGGTAAGTGCATATGCACCAAGTGCATGATACAGCTGACAGATACCCATTCAGTTCCCACTGAGTATTGTAGATTTAATAATACACTGGCCCAAAGCCCTGAAAAAATAGGCTGCAAACACAAGAGACTGATCTGTGTTGTTCAGAACTTTTTAAAACAGGGGAATAGCTTCAATTGGTTTTTTACAAACAAAAGAACTGTGGAGAACTGCAGATCCTCCACTGACAGTGAAGTAGGTTTAAATGACCTGAAAGGACTTAGAAAGGGAACAGCTGAATTTCTTCATGAGTTCTAAGGCCTGAAAGTATAATAGTGGATGAACCAAGAGTCACTTGGTACCCTAAACTCACTGAGCCCTTACTCAACGAAGCAGATGGTTAACTTTTCTAACAAATGAGTAGTCCCACTGAAGTCAAGCTGGACTATGTGCATGTGCAGGTGCTTCAGAGAGAGGCAGCACTCTAGATCAGTGGGGATACAGAATGCTGCCTATGATCTGGGAGTCCTGAGATGCTCTTTGGCTCCTCAGATGGCTGAATCGCGCATGCCGATCGTTTGCTGCTCTTTCCTTAGCTGCTTAAGCACAGATGAGTGCCAGCCTGAGCAGGATTGCTTTTTAAGCTTCCACCAGAACGCTAAACTTGTAGTTTTGTGTCTAGGCTCACAAAGTCTTGAATGGACAGATTTTACTTTTTTTTCCCACAATTGGACTGCTGACAACACAGATGTCAGCACATTTGGATCAGAAAAGCTCTTGAAGCACCTCAACCAGGAGCTGAACATCTCAGGGTTATTTACAGAGAGTTATAAGGGAGTGATGTACTGCCTCAAACTGGAGGACAAGGTTAACCAAAAGCCCCAACCAAATGAAAAACCTCTGCTTTGCTCCCTGAGACTGCCAATCTGAGGCTCGGGTGCACCAGCAGAGGGAGTGAGCCTCAAAGGCTACAGCCAACTGGTGGGGGAAGGTTTGACCTGGCTCAAGGAAACTACACTGAGGATAAGGTGTTCTTGCTAGCTAGTCCTCTTTTAAGTCGTTTCCTAGGTTTGATGGTCAGATGTTAAAGATTTAAGCTATGTGTCCAACTACACCTGCAGAAATTTAAGCAGACATAGCAGAGATAAAGAGGAGCAAAGGAGTGTGCTCATGAGTTGTTCCGTTGAGAGAACGTATCAGTGTGCAACCCTGAGGGGTAACATTGCTGCTAGTTTACCTCAAGCTGATAAAAGTGTTGGGATGAAAGGTTTTGTGAGGGTGAAGAAAATAGGATGGCTGAAGATTGGGAAGAAAGGGGCAACCTTGGCAATGATGGATCCAGCAGAACAAAGAAACTGGACAGGTCTGGCAGTGAGGGTCACCCACTATCAGCTCTTCTGGTGACACCTACATCAGTTCCATTTATGCATCGTTACCCATGCATATACCAGAGGCTTATTTGAGTGCAGATTGGAGTTGAAACTCTGATTTTTTTACTTTTTGCCTCTGTTTAAGAGGCTGCGTATGTTCCATCATAATAGACACCTACAAGTACTCTCATGGCAATGGAGTAAGCATTACAAAACCAGCAGTAGAAACAGAACAAACAACTACAAATTCCTGGAACAAGGCCTGTCAAAGTAGCAATTTGAGGAAGAAATCCTACAGCCAGGAAAAACGACAACGCGTGGACTGATGAGGTAAAATACATTCTCAGAACCCCAGAGCTGTGACAGTACTTTCCTCTAGCGAGCCTCATCTTTGCAGCCCTTTGAATTATCTTCCTAGCCAACTTCCCCTCCCCCCTGCTTTTTATACAGTGAATGCCTTCACAAAGAGGTCCCATGTCAGCTAATGGCTGCACTGCTGTAAATAGACTTGCCATGACTCTGCCTCATTTCTGAAAGCAACACGAAATTCTGAACAAAACTTGACAAAATCTAAAGGCTTAAGCATACGGAACTAGAAAACTGCCATAAAGTTTTCATTCTGTTGCAACTTCTTTCTCTCTTGCTATTCAGTGTCCAGGAGAGGCTTTCTAGAAGTGCTGTTCAACACGAAGGTCACTGGTGTTGTTAGTTAAGCTGAAATGCAGAAAAAGTCCACTTTCTGAGGTAAGCTAGAGGTGTGTGCTGCTGTTGGAAGGGATACCTAACTCCACATGGTATGTTTTAAGTTGTTGTTGACTTTACAGATAAAGGATTAAATGCTATTAAAAGGTAGGAGCATTTATCAGCCTAGAATTCAGTAATTATTTCACTGCAAAACAAAGGCACGAATTAAAAGCTACCCCTTCAAATGCCATACATGTCCAGCTGTGCTGTTCAGTTGTGACAAACAGAATCAAACTGGGGATGGGCTGCAGGATGCTATGGGGCAGAGCAAGGCACGGGTTTTTTCGCCCAGTTCTGGAACTGTGGAGAAAGCAGATCACACTTGTTCAGAGTTCAGAAAAACAGCCTCACTTCAAATGTTTTACATAACCCTTACAAGCTTTTTACTCTTATTATTATTTTTTTCTCTTTAAGGTAAATGTTTCCAAACATAGGAACTAGAAAACCCAACTATCAAGAAAAATGAAACCAGATTGGTAAATTCTGGCATTCCAAGAGGATATAATATGAAATGTAGGTATCCTGAAATGTAATAATACTAAGATGTGGAAAGTAAAGGGCTCCCAGAAAGATCAGTTGGTTTTCTTTGCAATGCACATCTCTCGCTAAGAGTTTTGCCTACAAAGAAGCTTCAAAAAGGGCTTTTAATTCTTTGGACTCCCTAGTTACTTCTGGCCTAAACAGGGAGGAAAAGCAGTGACAAACATAAGCCTATGATGACTTTTCCCAGGTTTACTGATGGGAAATAGAAAAATACCTATGGTTTATAGCAAAACAGGAGTACATTATAGTTAAAAGCTTAAAAAGCCTGAAGAATATTTCATTGGTTAGTGATGACAAATGGCAAACTATGGGACACTGCTGTGCATCTGAAGATGCGTTTGCAAGCTCTGCTCAGAACACAGCTGTAAAGCCTGACAATAAGAATAACTGGCATCACACAGCTGTAAAACCAGAGGGGCTGAAAGTGTGTCTGTGCTTTCTCTGTCTCAAAGCCCTTGAGGGCCACGATGGCCCCAGTGCAGGGCTGCACAAGCTCTGAAACCACCTGCCTGGATCCCAGCCCTCCCACAGTGGCCTAGAGGAGCAGCGTGGGGAGTGCAGGATCTCCTCAGCCACATCCCAGCACAAGCATCTCTGGGCCGTGGCACGGAGCTGGCTCAGCACTGCTGAGAGGTCTCCCCTCCAGTTGCAGCTGAGGATTGCTTTTCAGCCGCTGCAGCGTCAGCGCGGACACGGGGCACTTGGTGAATTCCCTCCTCCAAAGAGGACATGACTTGCCCAGGGCAAAAGAAAGACCATGCCAGAAGTGGGATCAGGACTCCGCAATCCCCAGGTGCCAGACACGTGCTTGCCTTAAAACTGTGCACTTCATCAAACCGTAAAATCCAGCCAGATGGTGACTCTTTGCTATTATCTAGACCAGTGCTGGGAGGCTTAACGTGTGCACAGCACGGTTGAGATCTGGATTGCAGTTTCTGTGACTAAGGCTCAGAAGCCCAGGAAACAGTTTCATCTTTTAGATCTAGGTGCCACTATAAACTTGAGCATGTTTGAACCCAAGCTCTGACTTTGGTCTAGCCTCATGAAATGTTTCCATCTCAGCCTGGACCCACCAGCTTCAATGAGGTTTTTTTTTTCTTTGGGAAGGGGTAGAGAGATGCAGGAATATGGGCTGGCTACTTTGTCAGCCTTACTGTGCCTTGTGTACTTGGCCCTGGTCTGACTCTCTTCCTCCAGGTAGTGAAGACTGCATGAATTGGCCAGTGGATCAGTTTTGCCTCTCAGCAATCACTGAAGAACTTGCTAGATGGACTCAGGAGACAAACAAGCTCTGCCTTCTGTATGAACATATGTCCCAGAACACCAGAACTTTCAGTTAATAAAGAGCAAATAAAAAGATTTTTTGCAGTTGGAATTTTTTAAAAGTGGTTTATATGTCTTTAGTCCTGTCTCAAAGTCACCAGCAAAGATTTCTGTTGCATACCCTGCAAATGGATTTGGGCCCTTAGTCCTTCCAAAAAAATACTCCCTAGCTTATGAGCAGACCATTGCTCTTTGCATCCAACTGCTGGTGGAAGAAAACCCCACCACCACAACAACAAAACAACAAACCAAACAACTATATATTTATCCTAATTACAGTTACCACTTTACTTGTGTTTTTACTGAGGTAGGTGCCTCTGAGGTGGTTCCAACAAACACGTATTTTTTCCAATAGCTTCATCATGCATGTCTTTGTCCCCTCCTTCCAGCCAGTATATAAACAGCATGTGAGTTCCAAATCAAAAGCAATTCCCTGCTGCTAACTTCAGTGGAGCCTTTGTCTTTTGTTAGCGTGAGTTTTGGGGAGCTACTTGACCCATGCATATGCTTTACCATTCCAGACAGTGCATGGCAGTTATTGTCCACTCAGACTTAACAACAAAATATTGTGAACAGAAAAGTAACTCAAAAACTAAGAAAATGAATCAGTGTGCTAAACAGCAGAGTCCTAATTTCTTGCTAAAATTAGGTTCTAATGATGGAAATGGTTTTCTCTTGAACTCCTAGGGATGAACTGGAAACTTAAACTCTGCATTCAGGTCTCACCCTGCCAGTCAGAGGCAGGCACTGAAGGTAATTCTCAGTGTTCCAGGCAGATCAAAAGAAACTCATTATCAGTCAGTCATCTAAAAGGATATGACAGCTTCACATCCAGTTGTTCAGCAGCTTAGATGCAGTCTGGAATGGATCTTTTTCTGTGTCTGTTGTCTGTAATAGCTTTTAGGGCTGGCTCTTCTTCCAACACACAGTACAAATCCTCTGGTAACTAGTACCAGCCACACTCAACAAAAGCCAGCTAAATCTGGTGTAAGCTCAGAAATCGATGACTGCTTGCCCTTTTCTCGTACTCAAGTCAGTAGGAGTC